TGTGTGGTTTTTTTGAGATTGTTATTACTATCCATAAATAAAGTCATTACTGTTTGACTGAAAAAGGTTTTTATAAAACTCCACTTCCAAAATTAACATTTTTATTAAAACAAGTTTAAAAAAAGTTCACCATAGAAAAGTCAACAAGGGTTTTAACAAAAACAAAATATACCTTTGTATACAATGTATATATATACTAGCAGCAAACTACATCTGAGATTTTATGCTGTTTTAGTTATTTTAAAGAAAGCATAAACAATGCATATTAGTATGGAATGTCAGCTAATCCACTCTTCATCCTTTATTCTGTGATTTGGACCTTCTACAAATTCTCATTAGTGAATACTAAGAACAAACCCAGTTTTAACTAAAAAGTAGTGAAACAGAGTGGCTGGTAAATCTGTCTCATTACGTCATAGTCATGCATTATCTTTAAGAACAAATGAGCACCATATAAACAGGTAATTGTTTGTGTAAACTTAATTTTTAAGGTGTAATAGCAGCCAACTAGACGACTTAGTACGTGACTGTCACCTTTTAAAAATTTGGCAATATACAAAATTTTAATTAAATCAGATAAACACCTCAATTCTCTATTGCTTGTCCATTTTTAAAATCCTTAATAGAAATTCTATATATAAACTGGCAAACGGCATGTATACATGTATGCGTGAATACATATACACACACAAAAGTGTATGTATACATACATGTACGTCTTCAGCTTTGAATGAATTTCTAAACTGAGATAAAGCCAAACGTCTCATTTAAACACATCTGTAGACTATATCACCAACTGAAAGTTTCTAATAAAAGTTTCTTCTTAGCTAATTAGAAACACTGGCTATTGAAAATTCTGAGGCCAAAGAGCTGTTACCCAGCTTAGTATATTTCAGGCTTACAAATTAGTCAAACAAGATAGAAATTACTAAATGCCCACCAAAGAAATAAATTTGTCTCTTGATATTTCCTTCTAAGAGAAAAAAGAAAATATCTTTACAATGAGCTTTCACTTTTTAAAGAGTTAAAATTATTAAAGAAATCTCATTAGTATTCAAAAATACTAAACGTTATATAAATACTATTTTCTTATAGTTGAATTCTTCAGCTAGAATCTGTATTTTTAAAATTTCCTTTGGATTGTTCCATTTAGCACTTCAAGTTTCCATTTTGCATTTCTGGTAACTGGCTCAGATTTGTTAGGTTTATATCAATCACATTTTTCAGAATTTGCTACTGTGTGTTACCTGTGCACAACAAAGTAGATGGGAGGTAATACACAAAATCTCAAAAGCAACATAACAAATTCAAGAATATGTAATACTAGAAAAAGATAAAGTACAACAGGGATTCCCTTTTCACCATTACATTAGTGAAATATAACCCTTTTTATGCTTTTAAAGCTGATGTCATAACGTTCATTTTTTAATTTATCAAGAGGATGAAGTTTTTAGATGGCCCACTTTTATTTTTCAGTTCAAAAACTGAAACAGACTGAATTACTTTTATTAATATACACATCAAGATATTGAAATGGTGACTTCGTGTAGTTTTCCCCTTAAAGATGGCACTTGCAGGTACAAAGATGCAGAGAGGTCTACAGCCTTCAGATGTCTACTTGAAAAGATTCTTCAACAGCAGTTTGATATTGGGTTTCCTCATCTAGTTGAAGATTCACAAATTCTCCATAATCAAATTGATGTCTTTGATTTAGATGACTAACAAAATGTCTAGTAATCTGGCTAGGATCTCCCCAAGGAAGAGACACACAAATAGGACATGTCTGAAATAGGTGATTACTGTTACAGTGATCCAGTAAACCCTGTTCTGGTAAAATTTGATTATTGACACAAGGGACACTTAAAGGTGAGGTGCCCAGAAGAACTGGTATTTTCTTGGTAAGTTTCTGTGTTATCAGATGTGGATGTTTCACTCCTATTCCTGTTCCCTACTGAATCTTGAGAGATCTCAAAGTTTGAAATGATAGAAGAAACAACATATTCATCCTGATACTTCTTACAAGACTTGTAATGATATCTCATGCGATAGAATTTAATCTGCTTTGCACAGCATCTGCAGCTACCAGAAAACTTCCTCATGATATTTTCAAGGTTTAAGGCCCATTCAGGACATGCTCTCTCTCTTCTAGTCACATTTCCACGACACAAGGGAAAATGTATTCCACCTTCTCTCATTGCAGTCAGGAAACATTTTCTACAGAAAACATCCTGACAGGCCGTGGTCCGCATGGGCATTTTGAGCACCTCCTGACAGGGCAGTAGAAATCATCTTCGGTGTAGGACGTGGCCACGGAGAGCTCCTCAGCCATGGCTGGGGGTAGGGGAACAAGGCGATGGTGGCAGTGGCCGAGATGAGGGTAGCAGCCCGGGGCCCGACTCCCTGCACCCTCGCTGGGTTCTATGCACAAGGCAGCACCCTGCTCTCAGGCCCCATGACTAATTCAGCCTATCACTTACTCCCATGGCAGCTGTCCCTTCACAGCACGTCTCTCAGCTACACTGTCATTACAAGACTAGAAACTCCATGGGGACCGAGACCCACTTTTTTTGTTCACGCTATGTCCCCATTTCCCATCACTCTACCTGGTTCACAGAGCCCAGTAAAGAGCTGTTGAATGAACGGCCACACTGGTTGTAAGGTGTCCCCTGAGCTGCTGCTCTGCTTTCTTCTGGACTGCACACGACAGCTGCAAAGGGTGCGGGGCCTTCCCCAAGCCTTCCCACGCACAGTCCAAGAAAGAAGAGGAAACTGCCTATCATGGGGCAACCGTCAGTGGCTCTGGTGGACAGGAGAGCTGTCCCCATCCTCCCTAATTGACACCTCATAGAAACTCCTATCTTCCTTGTAGGAAAAAATGGCTGCGTTCCCAGCTGGCCCAATAAATCCTATTCAATTTAGAGTGTTGCAGATTTAGAATGACCTACAGTTGCAGAATTTTTCCCGCTTTGTTTGCAGCACTGTGAAATGCCAATTGGTTTTTAAACTATGACCATCTTGGTTCCTGTGTGGATAGTTGTACTTTGCCCATGTGTCTATACTTCACCCACTTGTCTGTACTTCTGATTTCCCTGAGGCTTTTTTTTTTTTTTTCTCATTTTTCTTAGATTCTGAAATATGTGGAATGCTTCACTGGACCCAACATCATGGCCATGCACACAATGCTGATAAACAAACCTCCAGATTCTGGTAAAGGACTCTTGTTTGTTAGGGAAAGGCAAGAAAAAAATTTTTTATTAAAATATGTAAGGTTGATTTTCTAACTACAGTGGTGTGTATAACTCAAACTGTAGGTGAGTGAGCATATATAGTTTTATTGAAGTCTTGAAATAGCTTCTATTAGAACAACATTGAAGTATAATAGAGATTTCAGATGCTCACTGTGGGGTTATTGCTGAATTTGCAGATGACTGCCTCCCCCAAAATGCAGTTTAACAAACATAACTGTTCATATATCATAGGCTCCTGCTATTCAGCATCTCTTAGCCTTATGAACCATTCTTGAGCGTAATAGTGTGGATTCTGCATTTCTGATCTGAAGACATTATTATTACTAATGAATTTAAAACTATTAATATAAATTGCACACTGTGGTTGTATTTAAAATATCTTGTGTTTCCCCCTGCTGGCAAGCTGTGCCAAAAAAAAAAAAAATTTATGCTTGCTAAAATGTAGATTCTAAGACCTCACTCATAGAGAGACTGATTCAGAAATAGAAGCCAGGTTTCTGCATTTTAATAACCATCCCCAGAGATTGTAGTGCAGGTGGCTCTTGGATCACACTGAGAAATCCTTCTCCAGCATCAGCAGTCAGCCACGAGAGGGTCCTTCGTCCTCTTCTTTTTCTTCCTTCTGATGGCCAGAAGAGGTTCATGAGACAGGACTTAGCTTAGCATCACCAAGTCTCTCCCTCCCTGGATGTCTTGCCTGGAGAAATCAGGTGGTCAGGGAACCAAGTGCATAGGGCAAAAACTAGGGTAAAAGGTCAACATGGTGACTGTGGCTGGACACTGTCCACAGAATGCCTATAGTTCTGTGGGGAAAAAACTCTTACAGAACTTTTTTTGACATCAGCCACTTAGAAGGGGACGTCAGACTTAAATCTATACCACTCTCTTCAATTTAATTAATCCAATTTTTTTGAATACTTACTGCATGTTAGGCTCTGTGCCAAATCCAGAGTTACAAAGGAATAAAGCACAATAGAGAGGATGACATACATACATCCTGCTAGAAAATAGTGTGTGTAAGTGCTCAGCTATCAACAGCCTGGAAGAAAGTATGGGATTTGGAGCCACTATGTTGATTCAGTATTCCAATTTGGTGCTTATCTCTCGAGCCTGATTTTCTATAGCATTGTTTCATTTGTTTGGTTTTGGCAGGGATAGGTCATTGTTCTGATTTTTCAGGCAAAAGATAAGAACTCTGAGGCTTGAGCATCGTTTTTTTTGGTGACTGGCTGGTTCAGAGATCTGAACCCTGGACTTTGGTGTAACCAACTGAGCTAACCGGCCAGCCCCGACTCAAACATCTTTTAACAGCAGGTTCTGTTTCAGGCAAGAAGACCTCTCGTCACCCCTTGCACCAGGATCTGCACTACTTCCCCTTCCGGCCCAGCAATCACATCGTCTGCGCTTGGACAGCGATGGAGCACATTGACCGCAACAACGGTTGTCTGGTCGTGCTCCCGGGCACCCACAAAGAACCCCTGAAGCCACATGATTACCCCCAGTGGGAGGTAGGTCTGCCCAGTGGTTGAGTCTTGATCAGAATCTCTTTCACTGGTTTTATTTCACATTAATATACATAAAGAGCTTACAAATGAAATGACATTTCCTTTCTTAGCAAAACATTGTCCTAAGATTTGCAGTTAGGATCAGGGAAAGTTCAAGGATGTCAGATAAATTAGTCATCACATTTGATTTTTCAACACGTTTGAAAGCCAGCCAAAGTGGGGAATTTGGGTAGGGGCTGTATAGGATCCAAGATTGTAAAGCCTAATTGCAGAGGTAAGACATAAACACTTAAACCCTGGACGTGTGTGATAAGCAACAGTAAGTCCTACTCACTGGTTGATGGCCCTCAGAGTAAAGAAGAGGAGGGATTGTCTCCTTGCGATGTGGAGACCAGCAGAGGCTCAGTGAGGCTGGTGTTTGAGCCAAACCTTGAAGGACAGGGTAGAAAGTCCTTTAGTAAAGAATCTATGGGGAGGCCTAGGGGTCAAGGGCAGGTAGGAACATGGCTGAGGAATGGAAGGGCCCAGGGAGCTCACAGTCTGGATGGGCTGGGGATGCATTTTGGGGAGTAGTATAGGAGGTGAGCCTGAAAAGATACATTAGGACCAGATTAGAAAGGCTTTGCTATACTAATGAGTCTGCGGTTTATTTGGGGAAAATGGGAACTTTATTTTTTTTTGAGCTCATGAGCGATGAAATCAAATCAGTTCTTTAGGAACAATAATGTACAGTCTGGCACAGGATGCGTTGGAGGCGTATGAGTCCCAAGGAAGAGAAACCAGAGAGGATACTATTGGCATTTTAGGTTTAAGGCAAAAAGATCCTGAAATCCCATCATGATGGTCAGAGTGGAAAGAGCACCTGCGGTTAAAGCAGAAAGAATGAGCTGTGGTTCTACAGGGAGGGAAGAATATGGCATTGAGGACTGTTGTCTCAGTTAGAATTCTTGCACTGATGACTAGTGTTGTATGAAAATAGTTGAGTCTGAATCCTGATATAAAACCTGAAATTGTGAGATTCATCAATTAAGTTCAGATTTAGGTAAGGTTTGGTGCCAGCAACAGAAATGGGCTCTGGCTCTCTTAAACCAAAGGGAATGTTTGGAGGGCTTCGGGAGATAGCTGAGTCTCTGATACTCTGCCTAGATTCAAGTGGTAGCAGTGTGGGATCTGGCTAGCTTAGCATGGGTCCCATGCCCGCCTTGGCTGGGAGAGAAGGACGCTGGGTCAAAGTCCCAATACTACCTGGTAGGAAGGTGGTCATTCCCCAAAAGGATTTGGAATACTCTTAGAAGAAATGGGATGCTTCCATGTCCCTGACCCATAGAGGCTTATAAACTTTAATTACTTCTCACTTTAGTTTCTTTAATAAAGACATAACCAGCTTTGATATAGTTATGAACAAATGCAATGTTTTAATTTACCAATCTTCTTTCTTTACTCTGCAAGTGACATTAAGTGCTTTTGAGCTCAGGAAAATTGAGCATTTTCTCCCACTATTTTGGGAGAATAGTTAGTTTCTCAGAGATGCTCTTGAGTAATGGAAGAATGATTTGTGTAAAGTTCTAGATGAGAACATGTGGCCGGGAAGGAATGTTTATGGATTCAGGTAGGAAATGCCTAAGAAAAAGGTGGTCACCTGCATTAACCACAAAAGGCAAAGCTGATCTAGATCTTTTTTCCTAATTCAGTAATGGGGGGAAGGGGGAAATTCCAATATTTTTCATTTGGTCTGAAAAAAAAAATCAGTCATTTAATATCAATATGTGACTTTTTAAAACCAGACATTTTAGAGACTGTTGTATATATTTTTTTTAAATTTAACAATCTAACTTCGATATCTCTTTCTCATGGAAGAACTTAGAGAAACCTTGCATTCCCTGGCGAGTGACTGATGAAGTTTTCAGGTACGGTGCTTTCTCAAATACAGGCGTGTGGCTTTGCTTACTGTTTTAGGGGGGAGTTAATGTGATGTTCCACGGGATCCAGGATTATGAGGAAAACAACACCCGTGTGCACCTGGTGATGGAAAAGGGAGACACTGTTTTCTTTCATCCCCTGCTCATCCACGGATCTGGTCGGAACAAAACTCAAGGATTCCGGAAGGTATGCACTCACGTTGCTACCCTTCTTGATGGTGAACGGGTTAGAGACAAAAAGTTTAAGACACATTAAAATTAAAAAGATGCATGACTCTTAATTAAACTAGACTGTAGTCCAGTGTATTCACTAGGAAATACATCCACGTACCTGTGCTTTGTTTGGTAGTCTTAGTAAGAAGCCAGGTGATGTCAGGATCCTAGTCCTGTTGACCCTAAATCATAAACATTCATGGCATCGCTTCAGAACAATAGCTTACTTAGCAGCACACAGCCTGTGCTTTCTGAGGCCAGAACAATGGCTGAAATATTAAAATAATAAAATTTGGAATCTATGTTGCTCACAGTAACCATAATAAGAGGAAATTTTATAATATCTTTACTAGTGGAAAAAGTAGTACTGATCCAAAGCAAAGGTTCTAAATTGGCCACTGAGAAATCAGATTTAGAAGGCAGCATATTTTTTGACTCCTTATCCTCAGAGTGTTTTCAATTTAATAACATCATTGCTTACATTTAATAACTGACAAAAATCTTAAATCATAAATTCGCTGGTTTCTCACTTCTCTTACATTCAGCAGATACACTGTGAGCTCTTATTTTTCCATGGAAACGTGGTTGTCTGTATTAAATATTGAGGCTCCTTTGGGGCTTAGTGGGGCTTTCCAGTTCATCCCACCGATTCCTGTTGTCTTCCCAAGGCCAAGGGTTAGGTGCCAAATTTCACCTTCCATTCATTCATCTTTCTACCATGCTCACCAGGGCTGCGGTTAGGCTGAGGCAAGTTGAAGCACTCTCCTCAGGAACAGAACTTAAGGGGATACCCAAAAAACTTAGCAATCAAGTTAAATAATATTTTAATGCAACATTTAAAAAATTTAAATGAATGCAAAAAATCCATACTGGGACCAATGCCAATATTTTCAATAAAAGACGGGATCAGACCCCGCAATAGCACGACCTTCAGAGCCCTGAAAGTAGCGAGATGCAGGCACAAAGATACAAATAATGTTGTGAGCTTTAATATACTACTGACTTGGCAGCTTTTCAGTATTTTTTTGATGACTTTAATGTTCTGGAAAAAATTAACCATTATTACATAAAACATGGATATAGGAATGGATATTTTTCCTTTTGCCTTGGTCTCTGATATGGCTCTGCTTGGCCCTGGGGCTTCCATAGGAAATAGAGTTTGTGACTCCACAGTCCAGAAATTTGATGCCTTGGGCAAAGTGGAAAGTTCTTCTGGCAGGTGAGATCACCTGTCAGATAATTAACTTGCGACATGAAGGTGAGTTTGAACTTTGCAGCTGCCTCGAGGCTTAGATCTGTTTATAACTTTTTCTGGAATGGGGAAGAACAAAGTGCCTTCAACTTTATCCTCAGAAGGAAACAAGATGGGCAATATACAAGGGTACTTCAAAAAGTTCATGGAACTGTGGTTACTAGAGGTGGGAATGAGGAACAAGGGGTTAGGGAAGGATTGGTTAAAGAACACAAAGAATGATTATATTTTGCAATGATGAATATGCTAATTATCCTGATTTGATCATGACATATTGTATATATACAAATACTGATAGTCAACTCTGTAACAGACCCCACAAATATGTATAATCAATTATGTTTTAATTTTTTTAAAAATTCATGAAAAGATTCATATTACCTTTCAATTTTATTTTTCCACAAATTTTTTTTTTTTCCTTTTTGTCTTTTTGTCGTGACCGGCAACGGATCGCAACCCTCAGTGTCGCGCCCGTACCGGCCCGGGACCGGCAACAGGATCACAACCCTCAGTGTTGCCCCCGTACCGGACCGGGACCGGCAAC